TGAGCAGGAGAATCACTGGAACCCGGGAGGTGGAGGTTTCAGTGAGCCCAGATCACACCACTGCACTCCAGCCTAGGCAGTGACTCCATCTCAAAAAAAAAAAAAGTGAAATCTTCCAAAAGTAACCGCAATTTAAATAAGAATAAATTTTTATTTCAAAATAGTATATAAATTATAAGATATGAAAGGCCACAAAAAGTTTTATAAAATTTCTCAGATAATTAAGAGATAATAAATTGTATTACTGTATTAACAAAACATATTTCAGCCAGGTGCGGTGGTTCATGCATGTAATCTGTAATCTCAGCACTTTGGGAAGTCGAGGTGGGCGGATCACGAGGTCAGAAGTTCGAGACCAGCCTCACCAACATAGTGAAACCCCATCTCTACTAAAAAATACAAAATTAGCCAGGCGTGTTGGCACATGCCTGTAAACCCAGCTACTCAGGAGGCTGAGGAAGGAGAATTGCTTGACCCCGAGAGGCGGAGGTTGTAGTGAGCCAAGATCAGGCCATTGCACTCCAGCCTGGACAACAAGAGCAAAACTCCGTCTCAAAAAAAAAGAAAAAAAGCATATTTCAAGGTTATTACAATCTCAGCTTGCAGGTCAGTTAGTTTTTTTCACATTAGGGAATATAATGTTAAAAAGTTAACACAATTTGGGCAAAAACTTGTCTAAACTCTTCACCGTTAAGTTTCTGAGCTGTTGTTCATCCTACCGAATAATGATAGCCTCGGTTAGCCATTAACACTACACACAGGTACGAACAAAACTAATATCTACCACACATAAGAATGCTGAGGAACACGAGTCCCTTTAATATGCCAGATTTTCTTTTTTTTTTTTTTTTTTTGGTTGAGACAGGGTCTCACTCCTGTGACCAAGGTTGAAGTGCAGTGGTGCAACCACCGCTCACTGCAGCCCTGACTTTCCGGACTTGCGATCCTCCCACCTTACCCTCCTGAGTGGCTGAGGCTACAGGTGTGCACCCACGCCCAGTTAGCTTTTCTGTATTTTCAGTAGAGATAGGGTTTCAGCATGTTGTCCGGGCTAGTCTCTAACTCCTAGGCTCAAGTGATCCTCCCACCTCAACCTCCTAAAGTGCTGGGATTACAGGCATGAGCCACCGGGCCTGGGCCAAATTTTCAATTAAGTAACAAAAAAGGATGACAAGCTCAACACAGAACATTGTACACTCAGCACAAGATAATATTAGCAGGCTAGAGTAATTTATTTTGCATATTGTATATCACAGAGCCTGACGAATATTAATATTTGGTAATTACATATTAATCTCAACAAATATAAAATAACTTTTAAAGATAACTTTGAGATCTCTCATTTCCATTTATTCAAATGTGCATTTCATTGTCCTTTTTGAGACAGAGTTTTGCTCTTGTTGCCCAGGCTGGAGTGCAATGGCGTGATCTTGGCTCACCACAACCTCCGCCTCCCAGGTTCAAGCAATTCTCCTGCCTCAGCCTCCCGAGTAGCCGGGAATACAGGCGCCGCCACCACGCCCGGCTAGTGCATTTCACTGTCAAACAAATCCTCCACTGGAAGCAATGTTTACCACCAAATGTATTTGATATTCCTAAATTAACAAGCCTGTGCTCTAATTTCTAAACCAGTATAAGCCTCACCTTGCTCAGAGCATAGAGATCCAGGATTTTTCTCTCTACCACAGGGATCTTCAGAGTAGATCCTTGAAGCTCCCAAAATTTTGCTAGTTGATCCAAGAAATCCAGTCTCACTCTGGTCATTGCCTGAGATTAAAATACAGAAATAAAAACTAAGATTATTAAAATACAGAAATAAAAACTAAGATTATTAAAATACAGAAATAAAAACTAAAATTATTAAAATACAGAAATAAAAACTAAGATTAAAATACAGAAATAAAAACTAAGATCATTAAAATACAGAAATAAAAACTAAGAGTATTAAAATACAGAAATAAAAACTAAGTTACGATTGAAATGAACAAGGACAACAGAGCAGGGGTCCCCAACCCCCGGACTACGGACTGGTACCCGTCAGTGGCCTGTTAGGAACCCAGCCACACAGCAGGAGTGAGCGGCGGCAGCAGGCAAGCATTACCACCCACTCTACTGTGAACTGCACGTGAGGGATTAAGGTTGTGCGCGCCTTTTGAGAATCTAATGCTTGATGATCTGAGGGGGAACAGTTTCATCCCAAAACCATCCTCCATACCCCCATCCACCCATGGATAAACTGTCTTCCAGGAAACCAGTCTTTGGTGCCAAAAAGGTCTGGGACCACTGTAATAGAGGTATTCATTTCTCTAAAGAAATTCAAAGACTTTTCATTATTGCTTATTTCAACCCGGTAAAACTAGCCAATAGTAAAACTAGCCAAAAATAAAGAGGCAAAAGACTTTTAATAAACTGTATTTATTCAGGCAAAAAGGTCACTCTGATTTATGTAAAAAGCTGTCATATTAGCAACCAAAACAATTTTTGTAAGTTGGTTTAACTTTATGCTGATCAGAAAATTCAGTAAATCAGATCCTCCTCAGTCTCTAACATTCTGTCATTTCATCCATAGGTAACATGCACACTTTAGGTGCATCAACTCTACACCTCACTGATACTAATATTCTTTGTCAAGCATCTAATTACAAGACTAAAAAGAAAAAATATGTATTGCGGCCAGGCGCGGTGGCTCATGCCTGTAATCCCAGAACTCTGGGAGGCCAAGGCGGGTGGATCACCTGAGGTCAGGAGTTCCAGACCAGCCTGGCCAACATTACAAAACTCCATCTTTACTAAAAATACAAAAATTAGCCAGGTATGGTCGTTGTAACCCCAGCTACTAGGGAGGCTGAGGCAGGAGAATTGCCTGAACCCAGGAGGTGGAGGTAGAAGTAAGCCAAGATCGTGCCACTGTACTCCAGCCTCGGTGACAGAGCGAGACTCTGTCTCAAAAAAAAAAAAAAAAAAGAAAAAGAAAAGAAAAGTATGTATTAAACTCTCAGAAATATTTTGGGGGGGAAACACTTCAGAATGACATAATAAACCTTCGTTATCAATAATTTTCCTTCTGTACTCTTAAAAGTTTTCATATCACAATGAAAAACCTTCTGAAAATCCGCAGACAGGAAAAACAGCAATAAATAAATAGACTTCCATTTAGATAATTTAAGATACATTAGTAATGCTTAAAGGCAGATCTTAATAAATCAGATTAACACTCCTGGCAAAGTTCCATTAAAACCAAAACCAAAACAAAACAAAACTAACTTTGAAAACTAGGGTTTTAAAACAGAATTTAAAAATCCATTTTCCAAGAACGAAGGGAGACAGAAATCTTCGGAGATTAACAAAACTTTTAGTAGAGTAAGAAACACTAGAGAAAGTAGAATTTAAGAATTCTAAGCATTGAAGCTAAGCATTGAACATTTCCACTAGAACAATAGGGCTAGAGACAGTTTCTCATGATCTCAGTTAAACGGAGAAACCATAACCACTTTGCACAATTTTTTTAAACATCACACTCTTCCTCCAAACATCAAGTAACTATTCAATACCAATTAACACAAACTCCAGGCTGTGGTCCATGAGCTTCTCAAAGTTCTCTACCTACAGCCCGAACACAAAGAATGAATCAGGAGGCAGAAACGGTGACAAAACACTTACCTCAAGTTCATTCAGGCGCTGGACTCTTGGAGTGAAACGAAAGCTTTTTACTTCACAGGCGAATGGAGGCTGCCAGTCCTAAATAGAAAGTTTTTTAAAAAAAACACAGTGGTATTTAAGCAAGGAATGCGTTATTTATTCCCTTAAAGGGGGGTTTTGCCATAATCACGGTGCTAATAGACTAACTTATAAGACTTCTTTATTATAGAGACAGAATGAGCCATTCTTTTAGATAAAATAATTTTAATACAGGTTGAGTATCCCTCATCTGAAATGCTTGGGACCAGAAGTGTTTTGGATTTCAGATTTTTCCATATTTTGGAATATCTGCATATACATAAGGAGGTATCTTGGAGAGAGAAACCAACTCTAAATACAAAATTATTTTGTTTCATATAGTTATACACATAGCCTAATGGTAATTTTATGCAGTATTTTTAATAATTTGGTGCATAACGCTTGTGTACACTAGACCATCAGAAAAGAAAGGTGTCACTAGCTCAGCCACCAGTGTGGACAATCTGAGGTTGTCTGGCATCACCATCATTTCTGACTGTGAATTCTTACATGGTACCAATAAACAATCATTTCCTTACACTTATTTCCACTTAAGTAGTTAACAGAAAAAAAATAACATACCATTAATACAATGAAAAAAATAACCTATTCAAGCTGGGTGCAGTAGCTCGTACCTGTAATCCCAGCACATTGGGAGACTGAGGCAGGAGGATCGCTTGAGCCCAGGAGCATGAGACTAGCCCAGGCAACAAAGCGAGACCCTGTCTCTATAAAAGAAAAAGAATAATAATGTTCCAGGATAACTTGGTTTGAGATTTGGGAGGATTTCGGTTTTTAAAGTAGGGATGGATGCTCAACCTATATTACTCAGAGAAGCAATCCTCTTCAAACCAGTCCCACTGTTTACCTCCCACAATTATGCCTTCCCAAGTTACTCAAGTGGAATTCAATGAGGTCATGTACCACAAAACGGTGTCTAGTAAACATTCAGGTTTACCAAGATCAAAAAAAAACACCAAAAAATTTAAAAAACCAAAAAGGGTAAAATTAAAGATTAAAAATAAACTTTTTAAACTTTTTCTTTTGTACTGTATGTGTAACGCGACAGAGCACTTTATGTTACACAAAAGTTTTGTTCAAAGCCCAGCTTCTGGGAACCCAAATATTCAACAACAAAAAAAAGTAAGCACACACACAGAACAAGGACAGTTTCCAGACTGTGATATAACTAAAATCAGATAGCATATTTCAAGTGGGGTTTAAATAACATAGTTTGATTTGGCCTAAATAACAGAATAACAGTAAACCTATTTTAAAACGTGAGTAGTCAAAAAAAAAAAAAAACCCAGGAGGTGGAGGCAGAAGTGAGCCAAGATCGTGCCACTGCACTCCAGCCTGGAAACTAAAGAAATTTGCCAATACTAAAATTAAATTCTGATTGTAAACAAGATTTATTTTCAATAATGTGACATAAAAAGAGAAAGCATTATTTCAACATCTTTTAAGTTAAAAAAAAACTTTTTTTTAATCGAAGTAACCGTGAATAGAATTTCTAATTAATAAATTCAAGAGTAGATGAAAATACGACTTAAAACCTTCAATGCTTAAGATTTGTTAATATTAGGTAATTATGATAGAAAAAAAGAGTTAAATGGAAGTTTTTGGAGGATGGCAATGCATATCATCACAGCAATTATTTGTTAATCCTCTGCTTGCAACGAATAGTCTATAACCTTAAACTCATTCAACATAGAGCATTATGTCTGTTTCAGAATCAGAAAAACCGATCTAGGTTCAAAATACACTTTGCCACTTGCCCAAGATAACCCATCTGGTGTTTTAACTTATCCAGATTAGTCTTATCTGTAAAAGGTGGACTTCATTTACCTATCAGGGCTTCAAAGATTAAAGCAAACAATCTATAGGTGTTAAATTAGCTCCTCCTCGCTGTCATTTAAGTTTTTAATTCGCTGCGGTGCCCATCACTGTGGTACTCAGTGGTGACGGCAGGTGCTTTTTAAAACGCAACACTGGTTAACAGTGCTTAGTATTTTATCATTACTAATACTAGACAAAACATAAAGCAAAATGCCTTTAAGAAGCAATGACTAAAGCAATGGTTCGAAAACCTCAACTTACATGAAGAATCATCTGAGACTAGTTGCTAGAAAAGCAGATTCCAGAACTTCCACAAGAAGCCTAGAGATCTGCATTTAAATAAGCACCCAGTTGACCCAGGTGCAAGTGGTTCAGCAACATCATTTAAAAAGCACTGGTCTAATGAGTAAAGAAAAACACCTTTTGACCTTGAGCATCTCACTCAACCTCTTGGGGCATTAATCCCCTCCACACAAGGGATAGTATCTACTTTCCTTACCTCAACGTTGAGATTATAATTAACCTTATAGGCAAACCTAGTTATCTGCAATAACTGTGATTCTAAAATCGTTGATCTTGAGTTCCCTATGTCAAGAGATTTCAACATTTCCTTCCGCCTCTGTTATAGATGAATTCTTCCTAAACCTCTCAATTTTAGAATTATTGCTGCTCCTCTTTCCCCGGTAAGACTTTCTCACTGCAGCAATGATTAGTCTGGAGTTCTATGTCTATAATACCATCCGGTGGAACTAGAGCTCAGATTACCTTTTCAGAAACCCTAGCCCTGAGAGGAGGCCTGCAAATATTTGATCCAATCAGGTCTTGAATAAAGAGCTAGCCGACTATCAAACCATAATGAGGATACGTGAGGGAAGAATGTCACGTCATAATACTGTACTTTAATTAAACCCCGTATTGGCTAACGAAAGGCTTTAGGCCCACAGCTGAGAGAAAAGTATCAGTTCCCAAGTTCCTGGCGGAAGAGACCCCAGAGACACCACTTTCTGGCGTTCAGACGTGTCTACATAAGACCACAAAAGAAACCGAAGCAGAAACATCCAGAAACAGGCTCCGGTTGTCTCAACATAAAGGAGAGTACATACGAAAGGAGAGAAGCATCGGAAAAGTAAGGCTAAACCCAGCGCACGGACTCCCCCATTCTTCCTTCTCCCCTTCTCTCTCCATAGACTGAGGTACCTTGGGCGGCCGAATTTTGCAGATGCCGGTTTTCTCCGCCAAAGGCCGGATGCGGCCGATAAAGCTGAGCGGATCTGTGAACTCCTCCCAGCTCGGCTCAAAGACGGGGCACTCCGGGGGCGGCACGAACTCGGCCGCGTAGCCCCCCGGCCCCACGCCCGCCATTGCAGCGGCCGGAGGGGGGGGTCCCCGTGGGGAACCGGTGGAGAAAAGCTGTCTGAAGCCCACTGAGCCCGTTCACGTCCCCTGACAGGGGCCGAAGCGCATCTTCGCGGACAAGAACCGCTCAACACAGACACCCCAGAACCGCTTCCTCCTCCCGTTTGTTATTGTTTCTTGCAAGGCTTTTCCTCTGAGGGTCAGGACTTTTCCGGAAGTTACTGTGCTGTCAAATCCCTCCGCCCCCCGCAGGAAACGGAATCCTTCCGCAGCGGCGCGACACCCGGGTATCTGGCCCTTCCTCCTTCTTCTCTTGCCCGGCAGCCCGGTGTGGCTGTTTCTCTTCTTGCCTGCCAAAGTTCTGCCCGGACCAACGACTCCACGCGGCTCGCCCTGGGTAGGGGGTCGGGGAGGGGCACAGTCTCTCCTTCACTAGAGGTGGGGATAGATCCAGGCCGACGGGGCGAGGCGAGGCGCGACGCGTTCTTCCGGCGCGGAGGAATGTGTAATGCCCCAGAGGGCAGAGGTTGTGCTTCCGGTGAGGAGGGTCCCTTTCCCTTTTGTGTGTCGGTGCACAGGAAAACACGCAGGGCTTAGCATCAGCCCCCCCAGCCTCGCCGCCCGTGCTTCGTGATTTGTTTTAACCTACCCTGCTGCGTTTATAGCAAGTAGCCGTTCCAGCATTTCTCTTTTTTTTAGCCCTTTGAATGCAGGTATTTTACAGTAATCTCACTCTGCCACTTTATACCCGCCTCTTCTCCAGGAAAACAAGTGCAGGTCTAACCCATCCCCTAAATCCTGCCAGCTGGCTTTAGCCACCATCCAGGAATTGCTTTTCCTTTTACACAGGACACAGCAGCTCTTCTGAATTACCAGCCAGTACTGGCTAGCTACCTACAGGACATCTCACTGTGATAACTCAGAAGTACTTTAATTGTTCACGATTTCTTCAGTGTTCCTGGTTCCTTTAATGCCTTTATCTATTCAGTTGCCTGAGCAAAAAAAAAAAAAAAAATCAAGAAATAGTCCTCATGCTTTCTGCTCTCACTTCCCATGTATAATCGTGTGTCTCTCCATCCTCGTTACCAGTATCCTAATTTAAATACTCTTACTGACAACAGCTCATTTCTTTTCTCCTCTCAAATCCCTCTCCATTCTCAAGTTGGATTGCTTTGTCTAAAATCCAGAATTCATCTTGTCACTTTTCATCTCCAAACTCAACAACTCCAAACATCTTTTTTAATTGCTGATTTGCTGCTTTACTCTCCAGCTTCATCTCTCCTGCTTCTCCATATGATCTACAGAAGTGTTTGTGGTGACTTTAGTACACCATGGTTTTTCTCACCTCTGAGCCCTCACACATACTTCCTCTGTCCAGAACATTTTTGTACTCTGCTGACCCAAAATCATTCGTATCATATCCCCTTCCTGACTGAATTTCTACTCATCCTTCATTTAAATAAATATGAAGGATTAGGCTGAGCAGATCTGTAAACTGTGCACTCCTCTTTCATGTTTATTTAAATATGAAATATTATTTATT